CCTGGCCTGCTGTGTTCATCCAGCTCCATGTCTTGTTATCCCAGTCTATCCAACCTTTCTTCATAGCTAAAATTTAAATGTCTTGCTTTTTAATTTCCTTTCTAACTCACTGAAATCTGCCTTCAGGATCTTATCCTTCTTCCTCCTCATGTTTCTGGCACTAGCTGAGACATGTTTTCTAGCTGAAAAAGTATAGTTAATGTTCTTCTGTGGTTTGAAATTTGACACCAAACTAGATATGGTACAGTACAGCAATTATCCAAAGGTTGGTCAAAGCAAGAGACTTTAGATCGAGAGATAGCAAGAACTGCTGATGCTGGAGTCAGAGACAACACAGTGTGGAGCTGGAGGAACATAGTGGAGCAGGAACGTTGATGTTTTGTGTTGGGACCCTTCTTCAGAAACAGGGAGGGGGAAGGGAGCTCGGAAATAAATAGGGAGGAGGGGTAGGGTTGGGGACGGTATGGGGGGATGGTGATAGGTGAGTGCAGGTAGGGAGTGGTGGGAATTGGTCAGTGAGGTGGGCGGGGCAGCTAGGTGGGAATGAAGATGGACAGGTCAAGGAGGCAGGGATGAGAGGGAGGGTTGGACATGGGATGAGGCCAGGGATGGGGAGAACATCCCATGATCAACCCTCCCTCCCTATCTGCGCCTCCTTGACCTGACACAACCTGTCCATTTTCTCTCCCACCTATCTGCCCCTCCCACCTCACTGACCAATCCCCACCACTGCCTACCTGCACTCACCTATCACCGTCCCACTCCTCTCTCTCTATTTATTTCCCAGCTCCTTTCCCCCTCCCCATTTCTGAAGAAGGGTCCTGACCTGAAACGTCAACTTTCCTGCTCCTCTGATGCTGCCTGGCCTGCTGTGTTCTTCCAGCTCCACACTGTGTTATTTCTAGATTTTAGATCTATCTGCATGGTGTAAACAGAGGTTTGAGATTTTATAAATTCCAGATATTTGGGCACAGCCATCAACGATACAGCCATATAAGGCTGGAGAAATGCTGCAGAACGTACACTGTAAATATCTGAAATCATCTAAGGATACTAATGGATCATGTAAGACCAGTATGAAGATCCCTAATTCATTTACCTCTCAAGTGGACATAAAAGATTGCATTGCACTTCAAAGGAATGGAGTTATTTCTGTTATCCTGGGTAATTTATGCCTCAATATCACAAAAAAAAATCTTAGAATCCCTACAGTGTGGAAGCAGGTCATTCAGCCCATCGAGTCCACAGACTCTCCAAAGAGCATCCCATCCAGATTTAATTCCCTACCCTATAATCTTGCATTTCCCATAGCTAATCCACCTAGCCTACACATCCCTGGACACTACTGGCAATTTCCCATGGCCAATCCACCTAACCTGCACTTTGGTCTGTGGGAAGAAACCACAGCATCTGGAGGAAACCCATGCAGACAAAGGGAAAATGTGCAAACTCCACAGAGGCTGGAATCAAACCTGGGCCTGTGGTGCTGTGAGGCAGCAGTGCTAACCACTGAGCCACTGTGATGCCCTAATCTGGCTCACTGTCAAATTCTGAATTAGAGACTTGAAAGAGTTCAGAAAAGATCTACAAGGATGTTGGAGAGTTTGAACTATAGGGAAAGGCTGAATAGGCTGGGGCTAGTAGCATTGTAGGTTGAGGGGCAATGTATATAAAGGTTTATAAAATCATGATGGGCATGGATAAGGTGAATAGTCAAGGTCTTTTTCCCCAGGATGGGGAGTCCAAAACTAGAGGGTATAGCTTTAAGGTGAGAGGGTGAAGATTTAAAAGGAACCTAAGGGACAACTTTTTCACAGAGTGTGGTACGTGTATGGAATGAGTTGCCTGAGAAAGTGGTGGAGGCTGGTACAATTACAACATTTAAAAAGCATCTGGATGGGTACATGAATAGGAAAGGTTCAAGAAGTACATGAGCCAAACGCAGGTAAAGCTTAGTTTGAGAAACCTGGTCAGCATGGATGAGTTGGATCGAAGGGTCGTTTCTGTGTCAGATATCTCTATGACTGTAATTGCTTTGGGAACCCTTGGACAAAGAATGTTTTTTTTCCCCCTGTTGTCACTGTGGCTCAGTGGTTAGTACTGCTGCCTCCCAGCTCCAGGAACCCGGGTTTGATTCCAGTTGAGGGTGATTGTCTGTGTGGACTTTGAACATTCTCCCCGTGTCAGTGCGTGTTTCCTCCCACAGTCCAAAGATGTGCAGGTTAGGGTGGATCGGCCATGGGAAACTGCCAGTAATGTCGAGGGATGTGAAGACAAGGTGGATTAGCCATGGGGAATGCGGGGTTACAGCGACAGGGTAGGGGAGTGGGTCTGGGTGGGATGCTCTTCATAGCATTGGTGAAGACTTGATGGGCTGAATGGCCTGCTTCCACACTGTAGGAATTCCATGATCACAACTCCAGGATTTGGAAAATGGGATTCCCTTGCTGATTATACACATTCTCCCTGAGAAAGGTAGTTTTGGGACTAAAGCTAACCCCCAACACACTCCTCAGCAAAGCTGCAGGGACTGAGTCACAACTCTAATTGTGTCATCACTTCTGCTCAAAGTTAGGCATCGCAGAGATGTTTCAATGGGTCAAAAAGCGTGGCACGAGGTTTTTCTCCCCCTCCATGAACGTTATGATTGTTTTCTCTAATGCAGCCATTGTATTCTTTATATTGTTTGTCTTTGTCCTCCTCCTTATTGACCGTATGGAGATAGTCACCAGGGACACGTCCCAGCACAGCATCCAGCCCTTTAACACCAACCCATAGGGCGGAACCTTTCCTCGGCCTCCACGTCCCTCCAGCCGGAAACATTTCGGGTTGAGCAGTTTGGGAGAGCGGCGGAGGCGGCCGGGTGAAAGCGGCAGCGGTGGGGCTTCGACGAGAGACGTTCCCGATGTCGGAATCGAAAGGTGAAAGGCGGATTGAAGCCCGCAGGACGGGGGGTGGCGGTGGGGGTAGAGGGTAGACGGTGCCACATTCCGTCAAAGAGCCGCCTCTGTCCGTCTCCATGGAGCCGGAAACAAAATGGCGCCGGCTGGCGGAACGTGAATGGGGCGTTGCCGGGTGACGGTACGTGACTGACGGCGTTCTGGGCCAATGGAGACGGCGCGTCGGCAGCCTTCCGGTTCAATGAAGCCAATCAAAAGAGCGGGGAGGCGGGACACCAGCCCACACTGTCTTGGGGGGGGGAGGGAGGCCCACCCTGTCTGGGATGGGAGGGAGGCCCACCAGCCCACCAGCCCACCAGCCCACACTGTCTAGGGGGGGGAAGGGAGGCCCACACGCCCACAAGCCCACACGCCCACACGCCCACACGCCCACACTAGCAGGGGGAGGGCCACTCAGCCCGTAGGAACTGGGAGGGGCCCATTTGGCCCATAGTGGATAGGATCTGGAGGGGATTCCACCCTGTTGAATCTGCTGTGCCACTCTGAGATCATAGCTGATCTATCATCATGTCACTATCCCATTCCAACTCAATGTCCCCTGCTCTCTTTAAGCCTGTCATTTTCATTCTTGAAACTGCTGGGTGATGTTAAGACAAACAAAAACAGACACTTCTGGAGAAACTCAACAGGTCTTGCAGTGGAGAGAAAACGGCATTAAAGTTTTTGAGATAGTAAGAACTGCTGATGCCGGAGTCAGAGATAACACAGTGTGGAGCCAGAGGAACGCAGCGGGCCAGGCAGCATCTGAGGAGCAGGGAAGTTGACGTTTCGGGGTCGGGACCCTTCTTCAGGAATGGAAGCAGGTCCTGCCCTGAAATGTCAACGTTAACGTTTTGAGAGCTTCCACAGCCTTCTGGAAGACAGAATCCCAAAATATTCATCACTGTATGAGTGAAGAAACTCCTCTTCATCTCACTCCTAAATGGCTTACCCATTATCATGTGGTAATATTCCCAGATTTTAGATTCAGGGGATACGTTGTATGCAGCCTGCCCCTGTGTAGGTTCCAATTTAGCTGCCTCTTATTTTTCAGAACTCTTCAGCAATACAGATCCAGACTCCTTAAGTGCTCCTCATCAAACAATCCTGCCATCCCAGGGTTAATCTGAGGTTCCTTGATTGTGCTTTCTCGATAGCAAATAGATCTTAATTCAGGGGACCAAAGCTGTGCACAGTACTGTAGGTGAGGCCTCCCCAAGGCTCTATACAACTGTTGCAAGGCTGCTTTTACTGTTGTACTCCAGTCCCTTTTGAGGTGAATGCCATCACATCGTTTGCCTTCCTAATAGCTTGCTGTACCTGCATGCCAGCTTTTAGAATTGGGGATTCCCCCAGCAGCCTTTTCAATTCGGAAGCTGCTGAGTTTTGTTTCTGGTGTGTCTCCAAGGTGACAGCAGAATCAATTAACTTGGCTGAGCTGTGAATGAACTGAAGTGTGTAAAATTATCCTCGTCATTGAGTTCTTGTAATTCTTGAACGTATTGAAATTGTATGCATTTATATGGTCCCTTTCACAAGGCCATTCAAAGGCACTTTACAGTCAACGAAGTAGTCACTGTTGTAATGTGGATTTGGCAGTGTGGAAAAGGGCAGCATATACTTCTCTGTGTCTCCAAGCATCTGGATGGGTATATTAGTAGGAAGGGTTTAGAGGGATCTGGGCCAAATGCTGGCAAATGGGACTGGATTAATTTATGGTGTCTGGTTGGCATGGACAATTTGGATCAAAGTGTCTGTTTCCGTGCTGTCTATCTCTATGACTCTATAAATCATCCACTTGAGATCAGGATATCTGGAAAGTGTTCAGCTTTTATGCTGTCTGTCTCATCACCAATGCTGCTCAATATGCTGTGTATTTCCAGCATGATGTTTAGCTTATAGTTCAGATTCCCAGCATCCACAGTATTTTTCTTTTGGGTTAGAAATCCTTCTGCTCCATTAGTTAATTCTCCTTTCCAGTCCAATTTCACTGCTCTTGGCCTCCTCCAGTTTTCTTAATGTTACCCAGTTTAAGTTCAGCATGAATTCAATGAGCCGAATGTCCTGCTTCAGCGCTGTAATCACAATAATGAGAATATGATTTAGGATTTTGATGAGAACATTTACAGTCTTTCTGCCTCCATGTTGAGTTCCAACAATTCCAGAACATTACGTCTGCACCCAACCTGTTATTTTTTTTCTTTTTGAATGCTAATGTTTGGTAATGATTCTCATTTCTCCCATTTTGTATCTCCTCTGGTCTGATCTGTTGTTTTTCCAATTGCCCTGTTGCCACTCAAATAAAAGCAAATACTGTGGATACTGTAAAATCTGAAATGGAAGGAGAAATTGCTGGAGAAACCATTGGGTCTGCAGCGTCTGAGGAGAGAGAAACAGTTAAGGTTTTGAGTCTGATGTGACTTCTTTAGAATCACAGCACACTTGTGGCACGGTTTCGAAGAAAAGCCATATCATTTAAGGCTGAGAGATTGATTCTTGATTGGTAGAGGAATCGAGGGTGATGGGGAAAACACAGGAAAGTGGACATGATGAATATTGGGAACAAAAACAGAAGTTGCTGGAAAAGCTCAGCAGGTCTGGCAGCATCTGTGAAGGAGAAAACAGAGTTAACGTTTCGGGTCTGGTGACCCTTCCTCAGAAGGATCAGGCGTGAGCGTACTGAATGACAGAGCAGGCTTGAGGTGCCGAACAGCCTACTCCTGTTCTTGTTGCTAAAAATGTTAACTCTCGTGTCTTTCCATTGATCCTCTTCAGCACTTTCTGTTTATATTACCGTTTGATGGAATTTTGGTTGGAAGGGAGGAAATCGTACTAGTTTCCAAAAGAGATATGAGAATTTTTATTTTTAAACTTCTGTTCTGTGGATAGATTGGAGAAGTTGGGACTGTTTTACTTGGAGAAAATAAGGCTGATATCTGGACAACGTTTTTGAGAGAAACCGTTGGCCCTAATGAAAGGATTGAGATATTAAAGCCATTGGCAAAAGAAGCACACATGACATGAGAAAACCATTTTTGACACAGTAGTCTCAGGTAGACAGGGTGCTTAAGCAGATGTTTAGCACGCTTGCCTTCATTGCTCAGACCATTGAGTATAGGAGTTGGGACGTCGTGTTGAGATTGTACAGGACGTTGATGAGGCCTCTTCTGGAGCACTGTATCCCGTTCTGGTTGCCCTGTTACAAGTAGGATATCATTAAGCTGGAGAGCGTTCAGAAAAGATTTACCAGGGAATAGAAGGTTTGAATTATGTGGAGAGGCTGTAACATTTTTCACTGTAGCGTAGGAAGTTGAGGCGTGACCTTTATAGAGGTTTTTAAAATCATGAGGGGTATAGATAAGGTGAATAGCATAGCAGGTGTGTTTTCCCTAGGGTGGGGGATTTCAAGACCAGAAGTGTATTTTTAAAGTGAGAGGAGAAAGATTTAACAAGGATATGAAGGGCAAAAGTTTCTTTTACACAGAGGGTGGTTCACATGTGGAATGAACTTCCAGAGAAAGTGGTGGATGCAGGTACAGTTACAACGTTTAAAAGACATTTGGATAAGTACATCAACAGGAAAGGTTTGGAGGGATATGGGCCAGGATTAGGGACTAGTTTCATTTGGGATTATGGTCAGCATGGACTGGTTAGTCCGAAGGGTCTGATTCTGTGCTGTATGACTCTTGTAGCAGTTGAGGTATGGCTTGCACTACCTGGGTGTGCGATGGAGGCTGCTTCAGTCAGGGCTTTCAGAATGGAATTAAACTGTAAGCTGAAAAGTAAGGATGCGCAGAGCCAGAGGGAGAAGGTGCGCCCTGTAGCACTAAGTGAATTGCTCATTTGGAGAACCGGTGCAGACGTGCTGGGCTAGATGGCTTCCTCCTGTTTTCCAACAGTTCTATGATTCTGGCCCAGTATTGTTCCCAGTTGGTGTGATTGTGTAGTGAATGAATGGAGAAAGCATTCTGTCAATTTCTTTTCATTCTGTAGCTGGTGTGTACGCCTTTAGCCCCTTTTATTCTATCCATGATCCAAATTACGCATTCAAAATGTGTTTCTTGTCTTTCTTCAGCTTCAGAACCGAAGACAGACGCTAACTCTGGAAGTGAGGTACCTAAATAGTATGTTCATGTATTCTGAAAATGCATCTTAGGGACTCTAGAATTTTTTAATTAATTCTGATCCCAAAATATCCATTCTGTTTCAATATATAGAGGGCATAGGTTTAAGATGAGAGGGGAAAGAGATGAAAGAGACCTAAAGGGCAATTTTTTCACGCAGAGGATGGTGCGTGTATGGAATGAGCTGCCAGAGGAAGTGGTGGAGGCTGGTACAGTTACAGCATTTAAAAGGTATGGGTACATGAATTGGAAGGATTTAGAGAGATATGGGCCAAATGCTGGCAGATGAGACTAAATTAATTCAGGATATCTGGTCAGCATGGATGAGTTGGACCGAAGGGTCTGTTTCCATGCTGTACAACTCCACTCTATGACTCAATCTGATGTAGTGCTTTTAAAGGAATAAAACCTGTCAGTGTACTCCAGTAGTACTTCCAAATTGATACTAAGCCGGTAAAGTGATATTAGGGCAAATGACCAAAACAGGTCGCTATGAAGTAGCATCTTGAAGGAAGAGAGCTGATGAGATTCAGGGTTCAGGGTCCAGGTACCTGAAGACTCAGCCATCATGGTGGAGCACTAAAATTGGGGATGTTCAAGAAGCTGGGATTAGGGGAGTGCAGAAATTCCGGAAGGTTGTGCAGCTGGAGGAGATTCCAGAGACAGGGAATGGGGCGAGGCCTGTAGAACAGACAGCCATCGTGTAACCGAATGGCAGAGTAGTCTTATGGAGCCACATGACCTATTCCTTACTTGCTAATGTAAACGAGATTTTCTCTAGCCATTCCATTGGTGTCACTGGGTCAAAACTTTGGAATTCCCTCCCTAAGGGTATCGTAGGTCCACTTACAGCACATGGACTGCAGCGGTTCAAGAAGGTAGCTCACCCGCACCTTCTCAAGGGGCAACCAGGGGACGGGCCCAGCCAGCGACGCCCACATCCTCTGTGTAAATTAGAAAAGCATAGAAGAAAACCTTTGGGGCACTCTTCAAAGTAGTGCAGGGGCGTTCTCCCTGTATCCTGGCCAGCAGTTGTATCTCAACACCCCTCCTTTACTGAATAGATTACCTGGTGCCTTGTGTCATGACTGACTACATTTCAAAAATACACAACTAAAATGTGCTTCATCATGTCTTGAGGATGTCGAAGGTGCTATCTAGCTGCACTTCTCCTTTAGTGCACAGTGTTTTGCTGCAAGTGGCCACATCAACTCCACTTGCCGGCCTGTTCCTATACCCCTCTGAGACCAAGTGAAGAGCTTCATTGCAGATGGGAAGCTCCTGTGGCAGTGCAGCCTTCCCTCCGTACGGCACTGAAGTGGTGGGCGAGATTGTGTGCTCAATGTCATGCCATTGAAAGGGAGATAGATCTGTGTTAGAAGCAGTAGGAACGAGGAATGGTGTAGTGTAGATTGTTTCAGTTGAACTTGTATAGCAACTTTGAGCAGTTTTCTCCGTCTTTCAGAACTCGGAATCTCAAGGAGAAGCGAGTGAGTCACCTGATGTTTCTGAAAGTACGTATGGTTTTTATCAGTAGTGTCTCACCGACTTGTAATGTATTTTCTTCGTATTTCTCATCCTTTTGTTTCCCCGCTCTCCTGTTACCCTGCGAGTCTGAAGCTGTCACCTTATTGTTGGAATGTGTCGCCACATCCATGAGTGAGTGGCTGCCTTGAGGCGAGCTGCTCGTTATTTCTCAGGCAGGGCAAATCACAAATTTTCTCTCGAGTTTCTGATGGGGCGGGTTGTGGTAATGTGGGAATGTCACTGGGCTAGAAATCAAGAGCTAACGCTGGTTCGAATCCCATCACAGTAGCTGGCGGGGTTCAAAAAGATTGCTTCAGGAAAGAAAAAAGCCCCAGCTGGTTGACTAATATTCTTTCGGGAAGGAAATCTGCCATCCTTCCCCGCTCTAGTCTCCATATTGACTCCTGACCCGCAGCAATATTGTTGACTCTTAGCTGCCTTCTGAGAAGTTTCCAGCAAAGCTCCTCAGCTTCAGGGCGAATTGGGGACAGGCAGCAAGTTGCGGCTCATGTTCCCATTTCCAAAGACTAAATTTTAAAGCCAGAACAATGGATCCTTGCTTTTGGATTTTGCTCAAGGTGTGTCAACCCTGATCGCTTTTATTATGAGATCGTAAGAACTGCCGATGTTGGAGTCAGAGATAACAGTGTGGAGCTGGAGGAACACGACAGGCCAGGCAGCATCAGGGGAGCAGGAAAGCTGACGTTTCGGGTCAGGACCCTTCTTCAGAATGTTGTTTGAGAAAGGCGGAAAGTAAATTTTTAAAAGTTAGTCTGTAAAATATGTTGGAAAATCTGTCATCATCACATAGCAGCTTTCTATTGACGGTAAAATAAAGTGCAAGGCAGGGCTGCTGATACACAAATTGTGGGCAGGATCAAGTGTGGCAGCGTGGAAGGAGGTCGATAGCCCTGCACATGGCCTTTCTGAGGCCCTTAACTCAGGCAAACAATACAGGAAGCTGAAGTTGAACATTTGAAATAGGCTCTTTAACGTGAACCAGCAGGATTTCTGATCTGGTGGAGGCAGGTGGGATGAGCCGGATTAGATACTTGACAAACCAACACTGACATGATGGGTCGAATGGCCTCCTTCCATGTTGAGTTTTCAATGGTTTAACCAGTGATAACAGTGTGTGTTTTGGCAGAGACACAGGTCATGGACTATCATTGAATGTTCTAAAACGGTGATCATTTTCAACATTTTTTGCTGTGAATTTTGATTCCGAAACACAATCGGATGAGGACAAGGTCCTTGTGATCACCAAAAGCTGTTAATGACCTCCAGGGTCATAAGATGCCAGCCAAGTTAAACCCAGGAGTCACAAGCTAAAGCCTGATGACTTGTGTGAGCCCCCATCAATGTGACCATATATAAGCAATGAAATCAGTCTCTAGAAGGGGGAATAAACCACTTGCTGCTCGTCAGTTCGGGAAAACAAGAGGCTACTTCTGAGCACAATCTTCTCTCCCAATAGTGAGTGGACAGTCAATTTGTTTAATTATGTTCAGAATGGTAGGAGGGAGACTCATTTTATTCTTTCACGAGATATGGGTAGTGCAGACAATTTGTTACTCAATCTCAAAGTATTCTTGAATTGAGTGGCTTGCAAGGCAGTTCAGGGTCAACCCCATATTGCTGTGGGTCTGGAGTCTCATGTATTCCAGACCTGATGTGAATTTCCTACCATAGAGGACGCTTGTGAACCAGATGGGCTTTTATGACAATTGATGATAACCTCAGTAATGGTGACCGTGACAACTGAATGTAACATCAGCTGCTGTGGTAGGATTTGAACCCACGTCCTTGTGCCATTAGCTGAGGCCTCGGGATTACTAGTACAGTTACAATACCACTATGCTGCTGTCTTGCTCCTCCCCTATCTATTTAGTGGCTAAATAAGTTTGTATGAACTCTTGACTACTTGACGTGTTCAGCAAACGATGATTAAAACTGGAGCATAAAATATGTTCGAAAGAATGTCCTATAGGGCAGAAATCCAGACGTGCTGCAGTCTGTCAGACATCTTGTACAGTAGTGCAAGCAATGCCATAAGTGTTCTGCTGGTATTTGTGTTTAAAATGGTAAAGTCTAACCAGATCATGGGGCCGCTGACTCATTAGAGAGAGACAACAGGTGGTTTAACCTGACGGTTACCACATCTCAGGCAGGGAAGAGGTTGAGAAAGAGAGTCTTTCATGGTAACCTCGTTTGGTGTGGAAACTGAACCCAGACTGTTGATGTCCCTGTGCATCAGTTGTTAGCACTGCTGCCTCACAGTGCCAGGGACCCAGGATTGATTTCCCCCCCCCACCAAGGTGACTGTCTGTGAGGAGTTCTCCCCGTATCTGCGTGGGTTCCCTCCGGGTGCTCCAGTTTCCTCCCACAGTCCAAAGATGTGCAGGTTAGGGTGGATGGGCCATGGGAAATTGTCCCATAGTGTCCAGGGATGTGCAGGCTGGGTGGGTTAGCCGTGGGAAATGCAGGGCTACAGGGATAGGGTGGGGGGTTGGGTCTGGGTGGGATGCTCTTTGGAGGGTTGGTGAGGACTCGATGGGCCGAATGGCCTGCTTCCACGCTGTAGGGAATCCATGATGGGTGATTGGCAGCTGGCTGAGCTACCTGACCCCTGTATTTAGTATTTGTAATCAAGCAGGGATCAAAATGTGATTTTTGAACAGAAAATACATCATTTGAGTTCAACGTTTTGGCTTGTGCTGTAAAGCTGGTTGATGCCAGTCATGGGAGTGAGTGACACTCTGGCTTCAGGCCTGTCGTTCTCCACCAGGATTGCTAGAACAATGTCAGGGATGAAGGAGGTGGTAAGACTGGAGAATCTGGGATTGTTCTCAGAGGACAGAACATCAAGGGGATGTTTAATTGAGGTGTTCAAAACCACAAAGAGTTTTGACAGGAAATAACTATGCTCACAACGTTTTAAGAAGTGTTTAGATGTGCACTTCTGATGCCAAGGCATTCCAAGCACTGTGCTGTAGTTCTCTATGACTCTTAATAAAGAGAAACTGCTTCCACCAATAGGAAGGTCAGTAACCAGAGCAACACGTGTTAAAGATAATTGGCAAACAAATGAAAAGAGTTCTTGCAAATTTGATTTTATTCCAGTGAGTTCTTGTGATGTGGAATGCACTACTTGAAAGGATGGTGGAAGCAGATTCATTAACTTGCAGAAGGGGGTTCTTTAAGGGAGGCATTTGCAGAGCTGTGGTGGACGAGTGAGGCTTACTTAACGGCCTTTTCAAAGAGCTGAGCCAGGCATGATGGGCTGAATGGCCTCCGCCTGTGCTGGAATATTCTGTAACATCTTAATCTCCGAGCTTTTCTCCACAGTGGATTTTCTGAGGAACTTGTTGTCGCGTTCACTCAATCTGCGGGAACAGCAACCCAAGAAGGTTTTGGAAGACCTTAGCATTGAAGGAATAGCGAAATACATCCTGAACAGCAAATGTAAGTTGCCAACTAAATCTCAAGTGTGTTTTAAGACAAGGATGTTGCTTGGTTTTTAAATGTCCTTCATTTTCTTTTCATGTTTTATTTTAATTGGGAAAACAGCATTTTTTTTCCCCAGACTTTGCAACTCCCACACCAACCCCCTCCCCCCACCCATGTCAGTGATAGATTGGAATACTTTCAACAGCTATAACTTGCATTTGTATAGCCCCTTTAACGCAATTAACATCCCAAAGTACATAACAGGAACAATATGAAGCAAATGTTGGCGCTGAGACATGTAGGCAGATATTAGGATAGGTGACCAAATGCTAAGTCAAAGAGCTGTGAAGCACCTTAAAGGAAGAGAGCGAGATGGAGAGGTTGATGATGGGATTTTTGAGACATTGGGACCCTGGCACCTGAAGGCACTACTGCGAGTGGCACAGCGATTAAAGTCTAGACTTTGCAAGACCCTGGAATTGGTGAGTGCAACGATCTTGATGGTTGTAGAGCCAGGGGGATAAGGAAATTGAAGGCAAGGATAAGAATATTGAATGGAAAGCTACGTCAGACTAGGAGCAAGTAGATGCTGAGTAAAGCTCCCTCAGTAGGTAACATCCCAGCCTCTGAACCTTTTTAAAAAAGTTTTTTTTTTTTAAAAAGAAATCCCGAGGCTTCACAAGCTGTTTACTTTATTGGATCCAAATAGAAAGCTCATCACCTCTGTCTTAAAACATCTCTTCAAAAAAAAACCCACGATACAATACACCACTTAAATCCATAATATCGTCACAGTTGTTGCCCACGAAACTGATCGGGCTGTCTCATCCATTTTCAACGACTTTTTAAGAGTCAACCTGTTGGTCTGGAGTCTTACGTAGGCCAGACTGGATAAAGATTACAGATTTCTTTCTCAAAAAGGGATTGGAGAACCAGGTGAGTTTTTAATGACAATAATTGCCTTTTAGTTCCAGATTTCAGTGAATTTAAATCTCACCATCTGCCATGGTGGGACTCAAATCTCAGAACTTTAACCAGAACTGGTCCAGTGACCGTACTGCCTTCCCCTGAACTATGAACTCTCACTCTACAGGAACGGAGTTGGAATTCCTGTCTTACCATCTCAAGCTGCAACATTTGACAGGAGGACCATACCCTGAGAGCTAGCCAATAGCATGCAGTAAGACAAGATTCATACATCTTTAAGTGCACATTTTTATTCATCCTTTCTTCAAATGTTGTCTGGCGAAATTGAAAGGGAAGAAAGCAAGAAAGTATTCTTCTGAATGTTGATTCATGGTTGAACTCTTAAGATTTTTATTCCCATTTCCTTTCAGGTGAAAAGATTATATGCATGGTCGGAGCTGGCATATCAACATGTAAGTACGTGGCTTTCCGTCAACCAGTCTCTTACGGAAGAGGCTTTGAAGATTTATTCTCACCTAAGCTTATTCGGGCAAGGGAAGTGAGACTGTATTTCTAGGATTTTGTGTACTTAAAAGAAAATCATGGGATTGGCTGTCCCTGGCAAGCGCAGCATTAGTTGCCCATCCCTAATTGTCTGTGATCTAAGTGGCTTGCCCGAACATTTCAGAGGACAATTTAAGAGTCGACCACGTCACTGTGAGCCTGGAGTCGTGTGTAGGCCAGACAAGGGTTTCCGCAATAATCTATGATAGCTTCGTGGAGATCTGCTTAGGGATAAGTCAACCTCGGCTTCTTCAAAACTCTCTCTACCGGCTGCTGGGTCGGTGAAGGGCAGGAGGCTGGTACCTGACCCCACGCAGGAGGCAGAAAATGATACACGTTACAAGTTAGATCAGTGCTTAAAGTGGACTTTATTAATAATGGCTGGTAGGCGTGAATTAAAAATGTCACTGTGGCCAAGCAGGTACCTCACCTGAGCCATCACCGAGACTGGTTTTCAGTTGAAATTAAGTTCCACCAGTGCCATGGCAGGATTTGAACCTATGTCCCCAGATCTTTAGCCTGAGCCTCTGGCTTACAAGTCCAGTGACATTACTGCTATGTCACCGTTTCCTGGGTTACATACAATATGACAGTCTGAGACTTTGTCTTTACAACTGCTTGGATTAACACTGTTAATCAAGCAACCTTCGGTATATGTAGTGCCTTTAAAGGTGTCTCAATATGCTTCACAGGAGCATTTTTTTTTTTTGACAGTAAACCCCAATTGGACAGTTAACCAAAGGAAGGGAGAGGCAGAGAGGTTTAGAGAGGGAATTCTAGAGTTTGAGGTCCAGGCAGCTGGAAGTGCTGTTACCAGTGGTTAGATGATCAGTATCAGCGAATATCACAAATAGCCAGAACTGGAGGAGCGCAGAGATCTCTGACAGCTGACAGAGATTACAGAGCTGGGAAAGGGAGGGCAAGGCCGCAGCGGGATTTGAAAACAAGGATAACAATCTTAAATAAGAGATAACAAGGTGTAGAGCTGGATGAACACAGCAGGC